AGTTTTAAGTTTTTTGGGAGGGGACAGTGTGGGGTGGGGGGGGGGGGCACAGGGCACTGGCGCTAGGGGTCGGGGACATCAATAGTGACACTACCTAGAGCCACAGCTAGGGCCTTGTGAAGTTTGAAGCGCTGGGAAATACAGAATCTGTGCTGAATTTGGCAAACACTGAAATGCTAACAAATGTAACCTTTGGTGCCTTCAGCTTTCTGAGGAAATTGCTTCTATCCACCGACCTAGCATTTGAACAGACCTGGAGCCCTCCCGACAGGCGCTTTTTCATGTTTACTCCCTTGTAGGAGGTCAGCCGCCTTCTAAATGCTTGGGATTACAGTTGCTATTTTAGAAGTCCATTTAGTGGGTGTCAGCCTCTTTTAGGGGTGTTTTTGAGGTTTGCTGAGTACTGCTACTTTGGAGATTTGGGACTGAACTGAGGAATTTGTGCCAACAACCAAGTGTCCTTAGTGTGGTTTCCCAAAGAAACCAGCATTGAAAAAACAGTTTTAAAAATTAGAATATAGCTGGGCATGGTGGTGCATCATTGTAATCCTAGCTCTTGGGAGATGGAGGCAGGATGATGAGGGGCCATTCAAAACCAGGCCAGCTACGCAGTGAGTTTAAGGTCAGCTTGTGCCAAGTTAAGACTCTGCCTCAAAAGACAAAGAGGAGAAAGGGAGTGGGTGGCATGTGCTGACTATACATGAGACCCTGGGTTCAAGGCCAGAGTCAATAAATAAAAAAGACTAGAAGAAACCAAAGCAGAAAACATGTGTAGAAGCTGTCCATGAGCTATGATGGAACCAGTGAACACACACACACACACACACACACACACACACACACACACACACACAGGGGAGGGATGTGTGTGCTGGCTAGTAACAGTGTGGCTTAGAAAGCTGTTCTTACAGACACTAGACCAGGCAGAGGCTGCCCACCAGGAGCTATGCCAGAGACAGCAGGTGGTAGCTTAGAAACTCCGAGGAAAGGGGGTAGAGGACTCCTAGTGTCCCTACCCATACAGGGAGACATGTCTGTAGGAAATCCCTGGGGACCTGTAATGCTCTGGCAGCAAGTGACTCCAACTGGATTCTCCCCACCCAGAATCTGGGCAAAGCACTGGATGTGATACTGTTCCGGTGTAGCTTGTCATGTGCAGAGATCACTGGAACACCGATTTACTTCTTAGTGGTCAAGATGGGGATATCAGAACAGAATATTTCATTTACATAGCTAGTCATAGACCCGTCAATTTCATACCCATCATTTATTTTATCAACGTCAAACAGCTCAGGAAGTATGAGAATGAATGCCACCAGAGGCTGGTGACTCCCTGACTTCACAGATGGCACCTCAAGAGAGTATGTCCTGGTTCTGGGCTTGAAAGTACGGGCACTGACCAACTTGGCCTCTTCTTGGGATAGGTCACCTTGTGCTGTTTTCTGAGAGCCACTCCCTCACTACTGCCACCTTAAGCCATGCTGACACCACCTCTTTTCTGTTTGCTTCGTCTTGCACATCAAATTGCCTATGAAAACCAATAAAAAGTGCTTAGGGCACAAAAATCTCTTTGAATGTCGTTATTTAATCCTCATGGCTTGGCAAACAGAGCTCAATTCCTTTTTTACATCTTTGGATTTTCGAGACCTTGGAGGTTATTTGATGAAATTTAAGAAAACAGTAAGATAAACTCATCCACTTGGACTTGGAAAAGGTTGTATTTGCTTATAGAATTAAGTTTAATTTCGCCCCTTGGAAGCACATGGCTGGCTAGCCTATGTGGTCCTTTCTCAGAGAATGGGGTGTCTGTGAAGCCCTTCAGAAGAGAGGTTTCTTCCAGGCTGGGCAAATCATCAGATCCAATGGGAGCTGTTTGCAATCATGAATGGCAAGGGAGAGGAAGAGAGAGGTGAATGATTAAGCCACTGACTTCTGACTTGAGAAAACAAGTGTTCAGGTGTTGAGGATTTAAAGAAGGTGCTTAACCCCTTCTTTAAAGAGGCAACCCTGCCACTGCTCAAGAGCTGAGGAAAGCCTAAGCCACCATGAGATGACTTGAGTCCTTCTGCATGCTGCATCTAGCCACTGCCACCGCGTCTTCCGTTACTGCAATAGGTTCTTAATGCCACTTTAAGAACAGCTGGAAAGATCTTTGAAAGATACTCGGGAGTACTTACCATCCTGCTCAATACACCCACCACAGGCTTCTCATCACCTCCCAGTCTTTTACTCTGGGTTTCTGATCCTCACACTATGGCTTCTGCCTCACCACAGTGTGTGTGTGTGTGTGTGTGTGTGTGTGTGTGTGTGTGTACATGATTCTGAAAACAATGCTGGTCCCTGCCAAGTCCTCAAGTCCTTCCTGAAATATAACAACAAACATTTCACATTTTAGGTCTTAGGATTCATACAATTCAACAAAATACAAACATAGAAGCAACAAACAAACAAACAAAGCCTCCTTCAAACACACAGCACTCAGGAGGCTCAAACAGGATTGACATGAGTTCAAAGTGATCCTGAGCTACCAAGTAGAACTCAGTTAAAAAAACAAAAAAAAAATTTTAAAGTCCAAGCACAGAAAGCACAAGAATGAGGGTAAGAACAAACAAACAAACAAACAAGCAATGCACCCGCAACAACCCCCACGGTATTGTTAGATGTAAAAATCCCATTTACTGAAATTGATTCATAATATGACATAAGTTTATATTTAGAATACAAAATCAGGAAGGTGGGATACAACTTAAGAGCAGGTCAGAAGAGAAGCAAATAGAGCTTCTAGAGATAAAATGAACATGTAAGTCAAACGAACAAAAATTTAAATAAATGAACCAGGTATCAAGTAAAGTTATCTTTTTGTTTTTGTTTTTCAAGACACAGTTTCTCTGTAGCAGCTCTGGCTGTCTTGGAACTTGCTTTGTAGACCAGGCTGGCCTCTAACTCACTGAGATAGGCCTGACTCTGCCTTCTGAGTGCTGGGATTAAAGATGTGCGCCACCATCATGCTCGGCCAAGTAATCTTAAAAGAAAACAGGTAATATGCTGGGCGTTGGTGGCACATGCCTTTAATCCCAGCACTCAGGAAGCACAGCTGGGCGGATCTTTGTGAGTTTGAGGCCCGCCTGGTCTCCAGAGCGAGGGCCAGGATAGGCTCCAAAGCTACACGATGTGCTCCAAAGCTCCAGAGAGAAACCCTGTCTCGAAAACAAAAACAAAACAAAACAAAACAAACAAACAAAAAAAAACAGGTAAAATGGAAGTAAATGAAAAGGTAAGGTCATTCAGGAAAGCACTGATGTGGAAAACAGGCTACAATTTTTTCTCATTATTGAAGAAAGGCATGTATGTATGCATTATTAACATATTACTAACCAGAAGAAGCAAAAAGAACTACACAGTGAAAAAGGGAAATCCTGAACTCAGACAAGAAGAAAGACTTCTCACCAAGGAAATCCCCCAGTCTTGAGGAACTCTTGATGATCACTAAAGGAAGACACACCCAGAGGAAAGCTATGGCCAGCCAGCCACCCTCTTAACCTTGTACCCAGGAAAGCCAGGCTTTCAAGAGTGGAGTGAGGGAAGTCACTGTCTACTGGAGACAGGTCTGAGAGTTAAGCTGTGCTAGATTTTGACATTGGTGCACTTCTGAAGTGAGAGTCCCTGAGCTTTTATTCCTTGTGAGGTTTTCATGGTAGATCTAATGTTTCAAAGGGAAAGATGGTCAAAGTTACCCGATGGAGTCTGTGGTAAAGGATTTGTCTGTTTTGCCTGATCTGTCATCCAGACACAAGGCTACCCACAATCCACTACTGTTACTTCCTACTGTGCAGAACCTGGTGACCCAGCTTTGCTTCACCCACCTGAGCTGGGATGGCCATGGTTTCTTTGGTCTTCTTTAAGAACCAGCTGTGGGAGTCCTAGAATTTTATGTAGGTTTTCTGTTGTTTCTTTGAATTCTATCCCGATTTTATTATATCCTACTTATCTCAGGGTTCACTTCCCTGTCCTTTTTTAGTTCAAGAGAGATGCCTTGGACGTTTAATCATTTTCAGTTTTTGCCAGAAGTGTATAGGCAGAGCAAATTTTCCTATTACCAGACTGCTTAACACACACGTTATAAATTTTGGTATTTTGTTTTCAACTCAGGTGAAAATATTTTCTAAGTCCCCCCCTTTAAAAGACAGGCTCTTTCTATGTAGCCCAAGATGGCTTCAAATTCATGGTGATCCTCCTGTCTTAGCCTCTCAAGTGGTGGGATAACAGGAATGTGTTAATGTGCTTTCTTCTTTTGATCCATGGGTTATTTCAAAGTGTGATATTTAAATCACCTTACTGCCAGGAATATGGTCTTTCTTGGTAAACATTCCATATGTTCTTCAAAAATGTATTTTGCTAATGTTGGAGTATAGTCTGTGCATGTTAACTAGATGGGTATGAGAAGTGTGTTCTGCATGCCTCCTATATCCTTACAGACATTCATGCTCGCCCTGTCATTGCTGTGAAATTTTGTCATTTGAGGGGCATAAATTTTACTTTCTCTCTGTAGGTCAATCTCTGCTTATTAGTTTGAAGCTCTGAGGCTAGCCATATACACATGACTACCGTGTCCCTATGACAAACTGTTATCTATGAGAGACATACTCTCTGGTCATATTTTCTCTTAAAACCTATTTTCCTTGACACTAATGGGGCCAGTCTAGTTTTGTTTTGCAGACTGTTGGTGTGATATATATTCTGAGTAGCTTTGGAGCCTATGCTGGAGCTTGCTTTGTTGACTAGGCTAGCCTTGAACTCACAATCCACCTGCCTCTGACCCCAGAATTCTGGGATTAAAGGTGTGAACCACCACCAGGCTTTAAAGGTTTCTTAAAAGCAGCACACAATTGTGTCTTTTTATTCAATCTGGCAATCCTTGCCTTTTATTTGGAGATGTGCAAGTCATTTATATTTAACATAATTATTAGGATGTCTTGGATTAAGTTTATTATTATTTTCTACTTGACCCATATCCTGCTACTTCTTCATTCTACAATTTGCCTTCTCTTGTTTTTGCTCCTCCCCCCTTTTTTTGAGACAAAGTCTCATGTAGCTCAAACAGGCCTTGAACTCACATGTAGATGAGGTTACTCTTGAACTCCTGATCCTCCTGTTTTCTAAGGCTAAGATTATAGGTATGCATGCCTTAGGTTGAGTACTTAGATGATTTATTTTATCTCAATGGCTTATTGGAAACACTTGTTTAGTTTAGAAGTTTTAGGGTTTATTGCATGCATCTTTAAACCATCCCAGTGTGCCTTTGACTTATACTGTACCAGTTTAGTCATTGGGACCTGTGTGTCTGTAGTAGTTTGAATGTAATTGGCTCCCATAATCTTATAGGGAGTAGCACTATTATGTATTGCTTTGTTGGAGGAAGTGTGTCACTGTAGGGGTGGGCTTTGAGGTTTCCTATGCTCAGGATACTCCTAGTGTCTCAGCCAATTTCCTGTTGCCTGTAAGATGTGGGACTCTCAGCTACTCTTTCAGTACCATATGGCTGAGCTCTAAAGTTATTAACAGCCACCTCAATTAAATGCTTTCCTTTATAAGAGCTGCTGTGGTCATGGTGTTTCTTCATGGCAATAGAAACTCTAAGACAATTTCATTTGCAAAATGTAAAGATGCTTTCATCATCACTGGACCGCTTACGTGACAGTAGTCATATGGGATGACGCTGCCTAGTGATACCTCAGTTTGTATAGCACACCGTGTTTACACAAAGACACATTCCTCAGAACCTGTCTGCCACTGATTTGTGACTCCATGAGAATCCAGCAACTGGGATGCCATTGCTGCCCTCCCTGCTAGTGTAGACAGGTAATTGTAGATATTGTTACAAAACCCAAAACACATTGTTATAGAGCTTGATGTGGCTACCAATTAAAATGATTTAAGAAACATGAAAGTACATTTTTTTTGAATGGTCCCATGTGATTACTCCAGGCAGATCTGGATTCCCATCAGTGTCTGTCTCCCTTAGCCTCTCCTGCTGTTCTGCATTAATGAACTTTGTGAAACACCTTTAGAATTTGAACTGTATTTGCAGTGGGCAGCAAATTCTAAGTTAGCAGAACTTACTTATTTCAGCGGCTTAGGTCTTCTCAAATTGTTCCTAAGACCATTTCAGCATTGTTTTCTTTTTTTAAAAAAATTATTTATGTATACAGTGTTCTGTCTGCATGTATCCCACAGGCCAAAAGAGGGCACCAGATCTCATATGGATGGTTGTAAGCCACCATGTGGTTGCTGGGAATGAACTCAGGACCTCTGGAGGAGCAGCCAGTGAGTGCTCTTAATCTCAAGAGTGATCTCTCCATCTCTCAGATTTGTTTTCTTTGTGCTTTATGTCACACATCTTGTTTTAGACTACTTTAGGGCTACTTGTTAGACTTTTTCTTCTGTGGCCAAATCTCAGCAGCTTGATGGGTACTGTGATGATGTGTATTAGTTTTCTTTTTCCCCAGAGTTCTCAAAATGTTGTTTTAGTTTTCATCATGTTTGAGGTTTCTCTAAACATCATTTATTCAATACTCCCTCTATCTTTTCTTCAAAGCTTCCACTGACCTCTAACAGGTTTGCTGGAAGTTCTGTCCCAGTGACTGGTGCTCCGTTTGTTTTCAGATGAGGGTCTGTTTCATAGGTTGGGCTTAAGCAATCTTCCTGCCTCAAACTCCTGTGTGCTGTGACTACAGGTGTGTGCCATGCCCAACAATAATAGCACTATAAATGTACCCTTATGTGGAAAACAAGCATGCACCTCAGAGGCCATCTAAATTACTGAGGGCACAAAAAGGAACCCACACTGGCAGTCACAGGAAATTCAAACTAGATCTTACTTCACTGTAGCCCCCATTCTAGGCAAATGTGAACACTTAATCCTTTTAGAAAATTTGCAATAATGAGCTGAGCATTCATCTAACAGTCTGTTGTTCTTCAGTCCATGAATGAGATAAGTGGCCACAATCCTTATCTTACCACAGTCCAAGCGGGAAACTTAAAAGTCTGTCTTAAAGGGTTAGTTCAGCTTATTTGGCTTACCCAGGCCTATGTGGTAGACAGAGATATATCACAAGATTTTTATCAAGGGGAATGGAAGGGCAAAAGAAGAAAATGAAGGAAGGCCAAAGGGGCCATGTGCCATGAAACAGTTACAGCTTGAGAAATTAAAAAGGTAGTATGTTTGAATGTAACTGGTTCCCATAAGCTCATAGGGAGGTGTGGCATTGGAGGAAATGTGTCACTGTGGAGACTTTGAGGTCTCATATATGCTCAAGCCATGCACAGAATCTCAGTTTACATCCTGTTGCCTGCCGATCAAGATGTTGGACTCTCAGCTCCAGCAGCATGTCTGCCTGCACACCACCATGATGACAATGGACTAAATCTCTAAATGTGTTCCTTTATAAATTGCATGGTCATGGTGTCTCTTCACAGCAATAGAAACCTTAAGATGGGTAAGGAACAGTTCCCTAGAGACCCCCTGCCCTGAATGGAGATCACCTTACACTTGAGTCATGGAGTGTATCCTACTTTATGTAGCAGCCCAGGGCCCTCCCATGATTTTCTTTCCCAGGAGGTGCCATTGCTGAAGCAGCTGCTGGAGCCAGGGCTGCCTCCCATGTTCCTCAGGGAAGGAGAAAGCACTAATACTGGTGTGTGGAGACCTCCATTTCCTCAGTGCTCACTCACTGGAAATGCTATTACAGCTACAGGTGCCAGCAGTTGCAACCCTCCATGCCTGGGCTACCCATCCTCATATGCCCCAGGCAAAACCCCCTGCTTCTGACTTGTGCTCTGCCTGGTGGGGCTTTCCAAACCATTTTCAAGACTACCTCCTGCCCTAGGACCCAGGTATAACGAA